CCTGTTTCCATGAAGCTTCTCACTGATAAATTTGCGAAGGGACAAGTCAGAGGAAAGATGCTTCCCTTTCACTAAACTGTCTGTGAACAAAGCCAGACAATAAATACTGAAAAATGAGTTAGCCACATGCCACAATGGCATTTTGTCTCCATTGTTACCAAAATTTACCTCATTTCAGTAGCAGTGTTGAAGGGTAGGACAGAAGGCCACATATTTAATCCCTTTGGTATCAGTGACTTAAATAAAAAAATAATAAATAACTAAATAAATTTAAAAGCTGTATCTTCAAATCTAGAACTCAAGGCTATGTACCCATGGCACCCCAAATTTTTGATCCATGCAACAGAAACATATTGTGTTCATTGCCTACATTCAAAATAACTAGGAAAGATCGCAGTGACTAGGGGAGCTGGTTCCTTTTGTAAATAATAGTATCTTGTGATCTTAAGTCCTTGTGAAAAACTTTTATCAGCCAAAAAGATGACAATGCCAGGCAGTATGGTAGAAAAATACATTTCAGATGTACTGAACATAAACCCATGCCATGCTGTCTGCATGCAGCACAAATGAATAACAGTAAAAGATACAAGTTATATCTCTATTTCAAGGATAAATGCTGACACTGAAGTATAATAAAATCACTTTAAATGGCAATACTCCTAACTGCTAAACAAAGCACGGAAGACAGAAGAGAGATGATAATGCACCCAGGTACAAGGATGGGATAAAATGGAATGCTGAACATTTTTTCACCCTATTCCTTTATGTGACTTCAGATCTCTTGCAGAATTTGGGGTGCAACACTCTCCCTTTCTTTCTGTTGGAATCTTGTTTACGTGGGACAATACAGAATGCAATTTCGGTATGCACACTTGCAGTCAACTGGCCACAATCACATTCCAAGGATTTAAAATTCTGTATTTAAAGAAAATAAGTTAAGAAAAGTGTAATTCTGAATAATTACAAATAATTGAATAAAGATGCATACATTAAATGAGAAAGCTGTTTATTCACCTAGTCCTATTAATTTTAAAGAATGGTAGAATATATATGTAGGTTTTTTCCTATATGTGTGCATGCACTTGATGAAACTATTTGGTGTCATTACCCCATCGTATATATAAAGACATTGAGGGATAGAGTAGACAACTTGTTTAAGGTCACACTGAAAGACAGTCATTTGTATGATAAAGTGCCAAGGATAACAATACATGGCAAACTAAAACAGAGAACAAGTTAAATGGGCCTTCAAGTAGCAGACATAGGCAGTGCTAAATGATCACATCGAAAACCACTTACATGTATCAAGGACAATCTATGTTTCTGGCAAAATTACAGAGTAGTGGTCAAAGGCTAGTTTTCATTACAGAGTGATTAAAATCAAGATTACAGGCTACAATGTCTATTATACTCACTTAGGCCATGAGTGCTAAACTGCTGGCAACATCACAATCCCAACATCTGTTTTCTAAAGTTCTATCAGATCATTCCTTCTGATACACTTTTCCATCAACAAAATACAAATTGTACAAAATACCTCAATGCCTGCACACAGGTTGGAAAGTTGCGCTAGCAATTGCTATCTGCATATAGCGATGTGAGATTTGATTTGACAGAATTTTTTTTCTGCTTTCATTTTTTAGCATTGGGTCAGTGAATTGGCATGTGACTTCAGCACTGTGGTTGGCAAACCATAAAGCAGGGGTTACGAGAGACCTCAGTGCAGGTTGCATTTTCAGTACAGTACTTTAGAAAATTTTAGGAGGCTGACTGATCCTAAGTCGTCGACTTTGGCCCACAGTCACTCTATGTGTTTCTGATCATGTTACTTATTTCCTTACACTTACTGCAGGGAATATGCTACATGTAAGACTGAAAATTTCAGCTTTTCTTTTTAAAAGTCACAAGAGCCCATAAAGACTTCAGAACTTAAATTCCTGAGATTCTGTCAGAGAAACAGTTGTATAAATACATTAGAAGTATGTGTTACTGAAATATTTACTACAAGTAGAAAACAAAAAAACCCATGATAAAATCTACGCAAAATAAAGTTACATACTACTCAAAATTAAGTTCAGACTATTAATTCCCTATTGAAGACAAATACCTTGACACATCATTACTAGGATGTGCTGAAGCCTAGGTCTAAGCTAGTGGCAAAAACCACTGGAAACAAAAATACCTAACCAATTCTCCTTACTCACTTGAGTAACCCTTTGACAAAATAAGACCTGGACTTGGGGATGAAATTTCCATAAACTTTAGTGAGAATGGAATGGAACTCTTAGGACTAAGTTCATATCCATTCACGCTATATAGTTTGTGCAAATTAACCTGCTTACTTCAACTAGATAATAGAGAGTTGCATAATAATCAACATGAATAAAATGTCAGAATCTAACTTCAAACATACAAACCCACTCTAGAGCAATAAAACATTCTAAAAATCCAAACAGATTCAGGATTTCATGTGATTTAACATATACAGAATGCCTTCACTTACATGTTCAGTGACATAATTTGGACTGTATCAAAGGCAGATAATGACATTTTCTATATTTTTTAATCTCAGTGTTATGGTTTTCTTTTCAGGACTCCATATATACTCTCCCTTGCCTTCAAACACCTCCCTTCTCTGTTGTTGTGCTTGGTCTTAATTGTACTGTTGTTATAAATTGCTCACAGCAACGCATACTTTCATTATAAATACATCAAGAAATAAATTAAGACAGGCTCTTTGAATTTGAGTGTGATTTGTGTATTTAACTCCTTTGATTTCCTTTGAAAATGCTAGCTTAAACAAATTATCTTAGGCATAGCTTCTACTGAAATATTGTACCTACAATTACAAGAAATCAAATTTTAGAGGAATAAGAATGGCTGTATCGAACCTATCCTAGACTTCTTTACCACATTTATCACCTTGTTCTCTGACTTCTACCTCTTATCCTCTGCCAATGGGTTCTATGTGCAACTTCCAAAACTTTCTTCAGAGTATGTTATGCAAATAGCATATACACTCCAGTTAGGATTTGATAAACAGGACATATCCTATTTGTCAGTATTTCCAAATAATCTCATGCCCCATCTAATTTACATCATATTGAAATTTTCTTCACAATTCAAAGAAGACAAATGCTGTTAGTTTATGAATGATGATAGGATTGGGTTTTGGTCCCTTAGTAAAAGTTGCCTAGGAACAAAATAGCAATTGTCTTCTCTGTATCCGCTTTCTCTCCAAATCAGTTGAACTGTATACATATATTATCTACAAATTCAAGTGCAAGATATAAATGTTTGTTAGCTGCTGTATTTTACTGTTGACTGCTGGATTCCTATATTTAAACTCATCTAACAAGTATTTGCAATGTCTAGCAGAATTGACAATCAAGCAGAAGAGACTAAAGCTGTTACACATTTTTGAATGAGTTTTTCACTGAGAAATGTTTCTTTACATTTTTGTGAGAAAAAATGTTAAAATTGCATCCATATGATACCCTCTTTATGCTTTTTCCACATTTGAATTAGCTGCTACTGACAATAAAATCATGTAAATCATGACAGTACAAAGCATACTCCTGAAAAGTTCTCTGCAGTTCCTCATCAGAAATCTCCATGTTAAGGTAGTCTTTCTTGACTTGGTTTATCAAACTGCGAATAGTGTCTTGTATGAACAATAGGCTTTTTGGAATCAGGAAAAATATGTTTTACTCATTTTATTTAGGGTAATATCTAACGGTAAACTTTGACACCTGTTTCAGTGTTGTTCAGTTTCAGTTGACCACAGATGAAGAGAACCTCACTGATTTTGGTTGATTAGCCAGCCATAGACTACTGTGAGTATTTGCCTGAAGGATCAAAGCCTAATTTCTCAGGATAAAAGCAGCAGGTTGTAAAAAAAAAAAAAAAAACAAACCCAAACCATTTTAAGGCATTGTTTTGTCATAGAGTGGGGGGGTGTTGTTTCCCTCCTTAGGTGATTTTTTTTTACTCAATGCTTCTTATGCTAAATACTTCAAATACTCAATACTTCCTACTTAATTGTATCTTACTTGCTATATGCTACAGCTGTAGCAAAAATTATTACAATTTGTTTACTGTTGGGCTAAAAAAATTTCCATTTTTTTGCCACAAGAAAGAGGAAGATATGCCAGCTGAAGTTATCCGGGATATCCAAGATAAAGCATCAAATTAAAGGAATAAAAATATGGCCTGTGAATTATGTTTAGAAGATAGAACTGAAGAGATGTGCAGAAGGAAAAGCAAAAACCAAGAGGATGAGGAGGCAACGACAGGGCTGGAGCTGGGTGAGATCCAGGTGGGTCAAGTTGCTCTCTTTGTTTTAGGGCTTGCCTTGGGATTCTCTCTCTTTGGAGGGAAGCATAAGTGCACGATAAAGACCCTTTTCTTTTGGTTTTCTATTTTTAATACGTGTTGCTTTACAGCAGGACTTGAGAAAACAGGAGTGCAGAGATGGGGTGGGGTGGTCGGTGATGGTCCCTCATGTCGGAGGGGAATTTCTACACTCCCTGGGCGCAGCCGCGCCCGAGCTCCCTTGGCTCCTGTGCCCCCTCCCTCATGGCCACCCGCGGCCCCCAGCCTGGCCAGCTCGCGCCTCCCCTCTCCTGCCATGGCAGCTGGGCAAAAGTCTTTCCTCCCTTCGCAGCCCGGGCTCCCTGAGCCGCCGTCTCACCTCATCCGCCTCCTCCCGCGGGGGGAACTCAGCACCGGGGGGACCGACACCGGGCGCAGCCCCCCCTCCTTTACCCCGCCGGGTGCCGGGCAGCCCTCCCCTCAGCCGCCGCCCCGGGGGTCTCCTTCCCCTCAGAGCCTCCCGCCTCGCGCTGAGGGCGGCCGTAGGTAGGGCTCCCCCCGCCCCCCTCCCCCGCCGCGAGCGCCAACGGCCGCCGGCTCGAGCCCAACGGTCTCCCCCCTCCCATCTCCCCCCACTCCCTCCCTCCTCTGAGGGAAAAGTGTGTCTGCGCGCGGCTGCCGGCGGCCCCGCGATAAAGGCAGGGGAAGCCGGGTCGGCCGGAGCCGCAGCGGAGGGCGCTCGGGTTTAGCGGGGGAGAGAGCCAGCCAGCGGCCGGGGGGGACGACCGAGCCCCGCCGGCTCCCGGGTCCGGGACCTTCCCCGCCCTTTGCTCGCCCGCTTGAAAAGTTTTGCCCGGGGAGCGGCGGCGGTGCCGGGGCGCCCGTCAACCTCCGTCCGCCATGGGCGCTGCCCGCCGGCGCTAACGGGAGGACGTGAGGCTGAGGGGAAGGAGCGGAGCCGGCAATGGGCAGCAGCCCGCCGCGGGGCTGAGCGGCGCTCCGGAGCGAGGTGTGCCGGCCGGGCTCGGCGATGGAGCGCCCGCAGCGTGCGGCGGGCGGGGAGAGCTAGCGGCGTCGGCGGAGCCTCCCGGAGCCGCGCCCGGGACGTGTCCCCGTCTCCTCGGCATGGCGGGGGCTGCCCCCGGCGGCGGGCCCCGCTGCCCGGCTGTCAGCCTGCTCCTCGGAGCCCTGCTCTGCGGAGGTAAGCGGGGAGGCACTTGTCGCCGGGCGCTGGCGGGGCTGCGGGGGGAGCCGGCTGGTCCTCTCTCCTGGAGGCACCAGTTGATCGCCTGCAGACGGTGCTGGGCTGGTTTGCAGCGACTTGAACTCCTTCCGAAGCAAGCGTCTTGTTTTCTGCCGTAGCAGCTTGCTGACTAATTTAGTCCTTGTTTTTCCCCTTGCTCTTTCTTACCTTATCCTCTAAATTCTGTCTCTTTCTGCTCTGTTAAAATCTCACACCTCCCCCCCCCCTTTTTTTTTTTTTCTGTCTTGCTTGTTTCAATGGTAGGAAAGCTTGCATCTGACTAAAATGAGAAAGTTTTCTTTCTCTCTGCCTCGACGATGATGGTGTTTACAAATGCATCTAAATTATTGCGTTGTGCTAAGGGGATCATCTCTGCAGGAGAGGGTGTCCTAGTCCCAGCTTGGAGCAGAGTATGGGCAGCAATGAAAGCTATAGGAGTCACCAGGGAGTGCAATGTTAGTGTTTTTAAATTATATTGGAGTTGTGCAGTGGTAGCTCTAGAGCTGGATAGAAGCCTTATTACCTGGACTGGACAAGATGCTTGTTGCCTTGATTAAAGGGATAGTTGAGGAACAGGTTTGTCTTAGCATAGAGGTCATTTGGATGATCTGCTGTTTTTTCTCATTGATGAACTTACGTGATCAGAGTCCCTTTGACAAAGGCAAATCGTCTCTGAAGTGATTCACGAATGCAAATTGTGCATGATCCAAACAGGGGTTTCTGTGCAGAATAGTAGGTGACTGCCATGTCTCAACACTTCTTGTTTTCTTGCTCAGACTGTGATAGTTGTGGATGTTTTCTAAAAACGTATCCTTCTCCTTGTTTGTGGGGAGACAGACAGAAACTTGTTAAGCTCTCTGCAATTCATGTTCTTGTTGCCATCCCTACAAATAAAAAAATAATTTTGCCTTTTGTCCTGTTGGTATTAGTGGTGCTGTTTGACTGACATAAGATTACTAGCAAAAGACTCCTGTTTGGTTTGGACCAGTCCTGCCAACCTCTCTCCCAGGGTAGTTCATTGTAGAGGCATCTGTGAGATACACGGAAGTATCTCAAGGCTAAAGCAAAGGTGGGATCAGTAGGAATTTATAAAGGGACTTCTCCCACCCTGATCGGTAGGGAAAATAAAGTACTTGGCAGAAAATTGTATGGCCTCTTAATGCCGGTCATTTTAATATAGTACATTAAAATTAATGGACATCCCAGTGACTCGACACGCTCTGAAAGTGCTGATGTGAAGAATCTAAAATACAGGTTTCTGTTTTGATTGCTGCAGCCTGGAGCTGAGAGTTATATTAGCCTAATGCTCACCTTCAGAGACTGCACGAGATTAAGACTTGTAAAGAGGCTCTGGCATTTTTCTGGGGCAGTGTGTCTCTTCTGCCATGCAGCTTTGACAGTCACAAATGCATCCTCTCCAATAAGTGTCTGCATTAAACTTAATATATTTAGGCACTGATATATGGGCATTTTCTGTCTGAAAATATTTTCTTAAGACAAATAAGTAGGTTTTGCTTCTTAAAGGTAGGAGAAAGTGCTACAGTGAGAGGTTATAAACAACCCAACCTCGTTAAGCTGTTTTTCTCTCTGCTGGAACCTGGGTCAGGGTTGACTCAGCCATGCTGTAAAAAAGTCAGTAGTGGTGCCACAGCTACCCACTGCGAGCAGCAGCTGCTGGGGGTTTCTGGGCTGTGCTCTTCAAGAATAAAAGAGAGAATATTACTTTTCTTCAGGGAAGAAAAGCAGAGCTTCTGAGCAGGGAATTTGCCTCTTGGCATTGCTGGGCACAGTATGATTTAGAAAAGAGCCGGTTAATTAAACTTATTAAATAAGGTGTTTGTATGGTTTCATTGTGAGGCCTTAACAAGCATTTCATTTGCACTCCCCTTGTGTATTTGCACTCTCTTTGTTGGCGTGTTAGGATAGTGATTGTTCTTGAGAGCTAAAGTCCAACTAAATGAAAGTCACTTTATAGCTCACAAGCGAAAACGTTTGTAAATGTGCTGAGAAACTTACTATTATAGACAAGTTGTCATTTGCTATTTAAAGAGCTATATTTACTTCTCTGAACTCATTAGCATCTCCTATCAGGCCTGAATTTCTAAGAAAATTCTCCTGAAATGTTGCCTTAGGCTTCAGCATGCCATTATGCTGTGGTTATTATCTGGCCAATGATGTTAATTCATTCAAACTCAAGAAAGAAGCCTGGCATTTAATTTAAGCCATGCCTCTAGTTAGACCAGGATGTATAAAAAGTCAGTGTGTAAAAGTATTCTTGCATTTAGGTACGGGCACATGTTTTACATACCATTTATTGGATGCCTGCTCCCTAGGTGGAGAGTATGTGTGTGAAATCATATTTACATAAGTAAATCCCAAGTGTATATATATTCCTTTCAGGAAATGACCTCTTTTCAGCAAAGTGCTAATGCATGTGCTTAAGCCTCTTTATAGCCAATAGGAGGTATTCATGAGCTTGAAGTAAGATTATTATTTTTTTAAATTGTTTTCTTGAATCGGAGCATAAATGTGAATACAAGCGTACAGTTTTACATTGTGATGCATAGATAAGTGGGAAGCCTCAATTTCCTATTAGCTGTGAACAAGAATCATAGAAACTGGAAATACAGAATCTTCTAAGTCCTAAAACAGGATTTAAGGATGCACAGCTAGAGGATTGATTGATTTACACAAGAGAAGTATTTAACATGAGCAAATGTTAAAGGTGCATGGAGTTACCACAATTTTAGGTACTTAAGTAGTGTTTGAACACAGATACAGACACAGTTGTGCATGTATAGGTTCATATAGCACCTCCTTTGGTTCTGCTCTACTTTATACCGCCGCAATGCAATATGTCTTTTTTTAGTTATTGAGGCTCTTTATTTTGAATAGTGTTTCATTCTGACTTTAAATTATTCAAGCACAGTGAGGTATTTTTATATCTTATTTTGAAAGTTCTGTAGCATGGCATAGCCTAGTGTTATGGAAAACTTCCTAATTTTTTTTTTCTTCTTAATTTCATCGTGTTAGTGCTAGCTAAGAGCACAGCAGGGACTTGCATTATGTTAAATTATAACTGCATGCAGTTTTAGAAGTTGCTAATCTCTCTATTGGATATAACACTTTCAAAATGAAGACAGTGTTATTAATATTCCAATTTACTTTGTTTTCATATTTGGTAGTGGATCTTAAAGTTTATTAGACACTGTCCTTGCCTAGTAAAATACTCTTGAATTGGGGAACTCAGTTTTTGTATGAAATGAAGTAATAAACAGCACATCATTATGTTTTCTTAAATGGCTAAATATTAGTAAGTATTGACAAACTGTGTTCATTGAGGAAAAAGGATGGGGAGTTTATTGAGAATTGGGATTTAGTTCTGTGGTTTTCTTTTCAAACTCTACTGACAAAGCAGTAGTTCAGCACCACTGGAAAGGTGGTTTGTAAGGAATAGCAAGAAACTCTATGAATAATGGGAAATTTGCTAGAAGTGTTGGTATACAGACTTTCCTGGGTAGAGTTTTCAAGGTAGTGGTCTTTTGCAGTAAATCTCTCTGAGCTGTTATTCGTAACTGTGGTTAGGGTCATGCCTATTCAAGACAGTTAGTCAAGAGACAAATAAGTAAATGAAAGTTTGAAATGTTCCGAGTAAGATCATGCCATTGAAGAGGTGTCAGAGATTTGTTGTGCTGAATCCAATTTTCTTCAAGGCTTTGGTAAGCCTTTGATTTACTCATATGCTGCAAGTTTGTGCTGTCAGACTGAGATTTTGGCAGCAGGTCACATCTGGCAGGCTCCACAAGATGTGTCCTAGCTGTTTTGAGAGAGACAAAAAGCATATTATGATAAAAGATGTAAAAGTGAAATGGCAACAAGCTGAAAGAACTTAAGTGTGTAAAGATAGTAATTGAAAATCATCTAATATGGATGTTAAAAAAGCTAAAATGAGAATGTAAGAAAATGCAAACACATATTGTGGGTGACATAAAATAATACTTGTCCATCCATTCAAAGGAGACACTTACTGTGTACTCGGTAGATTTGATACTAAAGAGGAAAGTGGATTTAGTGAAAGGAAAGCTGTGTAGCAAGAATCAGACCTTGCCTCTGTGTCAGGAATACCACTGTCTTGCTGTTTTCATCAGTCATTTTCTTCATTCTCTCCCTGTCTCTCATCCACTGTGATTGTCATTTCATTGGTGAAAGGCAATCCTGGTTTGGCCACCTTGTCCAGTGGGACCTTTTTATTTGCTTAATATCTAAACTCTACAGTGATACAAATACAGGTATATACAATATTTTATGATGCTATAAGGTTTTAACTTAAGGTGTTTGGCTGAAATTTGAGTGCTGTGTTCTTCATAGTGATAAGCAATAACTTTCTGGCCAGAAAACTTGCTTTTGTCTAGTTCAAACTCTTGTCCTGACTTGCTCTTACAGGCCTGAGTCCTTTATATTTAATTCAGTCTTCCTTACAGACTCAGTACCCTAGCAAAACAGTTTCACAGTGTTCAGCTCTTCAAGCAGTTGTACTGTTTTGTGTTCTGTGGACTGGCTCAGGCTCTAGTGACAGATGTGACCCCTTTGAAACAGGGACGGACAAATGGTGCATTGAAAGTTCATAGCTTCTGCAGTCTCCTCACTTAGAGGTATCTGGTAAAAGCCTGCGGATGCATCTAGCTTTGGAAATAATTTCAGTCCAGTAGTGCCTGTGTCTGTTTTAGTTAGCAAATGGAAATGCTCTCTCTTTATCTATTTGTTCACATTTTTTTGGGTCAATACACAGCCTCAGGTCACCATTTTTCTTTTCAACTGTATCTAGTGAAATGGCCCAGTGAGTCTGCTCTTCTATTTTCTTTGCTATTCTAAAGCATATTAATCTGTTGAGCTTGAATTCCATAAACAAAGTGTCATCCCCATCACTAAAATTACAGGCATCTTTGCAGCACTGGTCA